GTACCCGGGTGCGAGAACACGATGGCGTATCCGGATCCGATGAAGTCGTGGATCCGGATCTTGCCGTGGGTCGTCTCCACCTCGAGGTCCGGTATCGTGTCGCCTATCGTGAGACCCGGCATCGCTTTAAGCTAGCGTGTTCCTCTCTCTTTTTTTTTTTCCTTCTTAATTTCTTCTTGATCCTCTCGCGAGTTGTTGAGCTCTGAAGGGCGTTGAGGGTTTAAATGGGGAGGCGGTGTGGGGGTTGCATGGAGGGAGTGAGGGTTGTGCGCGTCGTGGCCCAGCAGTTGCTGCAAATTAGCTGGTCGCTGTGCAAGCACGACACTCTGCGTCACGTGCTGCGCGGCTTTGCTGTGGGCGGGTGTTTGAATTCTGTTGGAGTGTTAGGGGTTTAACTTCGACGGTATTTGGTGGGTAAAATGTAGGACAAATTTTCAAAACTAACCTCTTTCCATATTTAATCCAAAAAAAAAAACTATTTTTAACAATATTTTTAAAAACCAATCTGACGCTAAAATCAGGTCGGTTTTTGTAAACAAACTTTCGAAACTTCACGGGAGTTGAACTCCCGTGAAGTTTCGTAGTTTAAAAAAAAATTAGCTATGAAACTTCACGGAAGTTCAACTCCCGTGAAGCTTCGGTCTCATTTTCACAAAAACCGGCATGGTTTCAACGCCAAGGCTGAAACCAGGTCGGTTTTTGCAAATAACTTCAAAATTAGTTTTTTTAGATTAAATATGGAAAGAGGTTGGTTTTGAAAATTTGTCCGTAAATTTTAACGGCTCCCTTGAGGGCGAGGCATACAAATCATAATACACACTATCTACGTTGGTGGTCAAGTTTGGAGTTTTTTTTTGTTTTGGTAAGAACTGAGTCAAATTTCTAGTAAACCTGTCCTAGTTAGGACTACCCTTGGTCTGGTCTATTAATCTAGATTTGGTTTTTAATAGAACTGAGTCAGAACTAATCCGGTCTGGCTTTAGATGTGTTGCCAAGACGCCCTCTAAATTTCTCATACTAACCCTAACCCTCTTTTCTATGAATGAGCTACTATATGTAGGTGTTCTGATAAAATGTATACTCAAGTGTGTGTGTGTGTTTTAATTGCAATTGCTACATACAAAAATTGATGGAAATGTATGTTAGATATTGTTGTTGCAACAATAACTGAATCTAAATATGCTAAAATAGAGGAGTTTTAGTTAAAGTTTAAGTAGAAGAGCAATATTTCATTTGAACAATAGGAATAAGAACTACATTACATCATTTCGTCATTTCAATAACTCAACTGTTTGTTAATCTTCTGGATTTGTGGTTCAAACGCAAATGTTTTTTTTTCAATCCAGTTACATTTTTAACACTAAGTTTAAATATGCCTATAAAAAAGCACCACTAAATTTCAAACTAAGAAACAGATGTGAGAGAGAGAGAGAGAGAGAGAGAGAGAGAGAGACCACCATATGCGCGCTCTAAGTCTATCCCTTTCTAGATTTCACTCCCTAATCTTCATATTTACAAATTTTACCTCTATGTAAGTGAGAGGGATATACAAGTCCTATCTGGAGGAATATAAACATAAATGACAAATATTCAAATGCGAGAATAAATCTGCAAGTAGGGTAGTTTATACACTAGTAGAAATCCGTGCATCCTAGACTACAGATATTTAGCAAATGTACAGAAAATTTATGATATATACACTTGCATATGGTTCTGTACTTGTGTAAGTGATTTGTGTGGGTTGCTGATTGAATGTGAATGAATATGATTTTCTATTTTCTCTTTGTAGTCACCTGTTATGTTTACATAACTTAAATAGCACCAAAAAAATATAAAAGATGATGAAATATTGTTTTAGTTTCATTCCAGAATTTTGTATAACTCAATACACAAAGTAGGTTTACAAGCAAAGAAAAAGAAAAAACACTGTAGCACATATCCTAGACGGAAATTCCGTCTAGGATGCTATATCCTAGACGTAATTTCCGTCTAGGATATAGCATCCTAGACGGAAATAAAATCCGTCTAGAAAGCTTCCTAGACGGAATTTATTTCCGTCTAGAAAGCTTCCTAGACGGAATTTATTTCCGTCTAGGATACCGCATCTTAGATGACAACAAACTCAACTCATATCCTAGACGACAATAAATTCCGTCTATGATAGGTTTTGTAGATGGAAATGAGAGTATCCTAGACGGGATTTTCCGTCTAGGATGCTTCATTTTGTACTAGTGATAGGGACGTGTATGTAGTGGAGAAAAATCCAATAGTTAATTATAATGTGCGATTTTTTTTAATTGAACTATTAATTTGTTATTTTTGGCATCATTTTGTTAAGGCATGAATGATGTCAATTGCAATAATATTATTCCTTGTACGAAGCATATAAAAGAATGACCGAGTTATTCATTTATTTATTTGATAATGAAGTATCCGGGAATTGAACGCAAGATTGTGGCTGATCGAACCAGAGTTTAATTTAGTGACTACTGAGTTGCTGACAGCTTTAGTATTTCAAAAAATGATTTTATAGGCTAATTAATTGCTGCGCGCACAAATATTTCTCTAAACTTCCCATTTAATTTATCGGTTTAACCAGAGTTTAATTTAGTGACTACTGAGTTGCTGACAGCTTTAGTATTTCAAAAAATGATTTTATAGGCTAATTAATTACTGCGCGCACAAATATTTCTCTAAACTTCCCATTTAATTTATCAGTTTAATACCTGTTTAGAGTTCCACTGTCGATACTGTGAATAGGCCTGTCCATCCGGGCCGGTCAAAACCGGGGCCCGGGCCCGACCGGGCCGGGTTCCGGACTGGCCCGGATTTTTTTCAATTTTTTTAGATTTTATTTAAATTTTAAATTATACAAAAAAAGACAAGAAAAATAATAAAAAACAATAATTTTATTAATCACTTAAAATGACATAAATTACAAATAAATAATAATAAAAACAAATTCTTTATTAATAATTAATAAATCATTTACAAATTACAAGTATAAATTTATTTTGAAATTAATCGCATCACAATAGATAAGTAAATCCCAACTAGGTTGGCACCTACTCACCTATATCACTATCATATGCAACTATTTCCAAAATAATTCTTTATAAATTTTAAGCTAAGGCCTAACCGCCTAAGATATAAAAATTACAATTTATTTTTTATATCTATCTGCTAGTCCCAATTCTTCAAATTTATCTTCAATTCCAGCCATCCGATCGATGTCTTGCGTTCGCTTCTCGTACCTCCACCAATCTTGTAAGTACATCACCACTTGTACAGTGTACGGGTCTAAGCAGGTCATGTGGTCGTCGACCAAACGTCCTGCTGTGATGAAGGCGGATTCCGAAGCTACCGTCGAAACCTGCACTGTTAGTAAGTCACGAACCATGGTGGAAAGTATAGGATATGAAACTGATCCATATACTTTCCACCATTGCAAAATATCTAAAGCATTCCCTTGACATTTAACTAAAGAAGCAGATAAATATTCATCTATTTCAGAAACCTCCAATGATGACGATCCAAGTCCAGATCCACCAGTTAGCTCAGCTACCATTGCATACCTATCAAAACTTACACTTTTATCTCGGGATGAGCTCAAAGAAACCGAGGCTGTAGACTGTTGTGTAGCTACACCATGTCTAGCTGCATACTCATCATATAAGGTTTGAAAATAATTTCTAATAGCTAAATGAAGAGTAGTAGCAGTAAGGGTGGTTCCATCATCTAAGTCTATAATCTGATTACCATACAATGATTGTAACAAACTTCGAAGGCGAATATCCTTCAAGCATGGATCAATAAGAACCCCGAAACAAAAGATATGAGGAATAGGCCTAAAGTACTTATTAAATTTGCTCTCCATTTGAAAAATCATAGGTCCAAAAGTATCATCCATAAGATGATGAGTAGTAGCAGTAAGGGTGGTTCCATCATCTAAGTCTATAATCTGATTACCATACAAGGATTGTTACAAACTTTAAAGGCCAATATCCTTCAAGCATGGATCAATAAGAACCCCCAAACCAAAAATATGAGGAATATGCCTAAAGTACTTATTAAATTTGCTCTCCATTTGAAAAATTATAGGTCCAAAAGTATCATCCATACGAAATTTCCCAAAATTTTTTTGAATATTTAAAATTTGTAAAGCAGTTAAAGTAATGGTTGGATAATAACAGCCAGATAATAACATTGTAGCATCATAAAAAACTTGTAACATTTTATTTAAATTACATATAATTGTCCATTCATCTTCAGTTATTCCATAAGTGCTACCAGAACTAGAACTAGAAGCATAATAGTTTATAAAATCAGTTATAATGTCTTTATATTCTATTGCTACACTTAACATTGCATAGGTGGAATTTTACCTATGGTCAACATCTTTTGGAATTAGTCTGGGCTTTACATTTTTTCTTTTACAAAATTTTTTCCATCTTTTAAGTCTTTGTTCAGAAGCATTATGCATGTAAGCAACTGTTCTAACATTTTCTATCATGGGTTTAATTTCAGTAAATGCACTTTGAACAATTAAATTTAAAATATGACAGATACACCTAATATGAAAAAGATCACCATTATTAAATTTGCAACATTAATACTAGTATGTGACTCTTCTATTGCAATAAAAGAAATAACTCTTTTAAATATTTGCCAATTTTCATCAATCCAGTGTACTGTGATACATAAATATCTAGTTTGTGCTCTAGATGTCCAAATATCAGAAATTAAAGAAAATTTACAGTTTAAATTTTTAAAATAAGAAATTATTTTTCCTTGTTCCTCCTGATAATATTTTAAAATATCACGTTGACAGGTTTGACGAGAATTTTTTTTAAATGCAGGATAAAAACCATCCCTAAACATATCTTCAAATTCATCATCTTCTACTAATTTAAAAGGAAGGTTTTTAAGAATGATAAACCTGATTACGCATTTCCTGGCTCTGGCAGCGTCATAGTTCCAACTACCGAGACTACCAGAAGAGGAGGATTGAGAAATCATAGATTGTCGGATATCACCTTGAGGAGTCTGGCCTTTGTTGTGTTTATCTAAATGGCGTTTGAGGTGGTTAGTGCCGCTCTTATGATGAGCTTGAAAAATCTTGCCGCACAACGCACTTAGCCTTCTGAGTGAGGATCCTACCGTGTTCATCCTTGG